GCTGCCCTTCCTGTCAGGTGAAAAGCAATCAATGAAGCATGACAGAACAGATAACGGGTCAACTCACAGTGTTCGGAGGGAAGTGTGCTCAGCTGCACTCGGGGTGGAGACAATCAGAGACCACAGCCTCTACATTGCTGGAGTGTCAATGACTGTTTGTTTGAATATTTTAGAGGGAAGTAATGATGATTTCACTCTGGGGTGAATTAAGAAGAGTCTGACAAACAGTCCATCAAACCAAGCAGTAACAAGAAAATGAGAGCCCTCCCTGGCTTATTAAGACAACCCCAAAGCAAAGGCCAAAATTACCCTTGTTAAATTGCAACTGAACTTTGCATTACCTGACAAGCTTGGTTTAATTGGAAACAACTCTAATAACAGTCATTCAGGACTGATGTGGAGCTGCTGAAATTTATTGTGCATGAGAAAACAGAGCAGTGTGTTAGAAAGCTCAGCTACAGCTACTTTTTACCAGAGAAAAAGTTAACAATTCGTGCATTAGCTGAAATGATGTCAGAGCGTGATGGTCAGTCTGTCCATCACATAATTCACCTGCATGAACAATTCTGAATAAGGTCCCTTAATAAAGATCCTCTTAATCATTATTTTTACTGAGTTGTGATCATAACATGGTCAATTTATCAGCCTTGGTCTAATTCAAATATTTGTTTCAGCCTCTTATCAAGCAAAAAATGCCAAATATTCAAATGTGCAGGTTTGTTGCTTTTGATATCTCTGGAAGAAAAAAAAAGAAATCAGAAGATGTCATCTTGGATTCTGGGAAATTGTGTGGGGCTTTGCTAGCGTCTGACCTTTTAAATTCTAGTCACCTGATCAATAAATGACACTAGAAATTAATGAAGTGTATTTATAGTGTGGATTCATTTGTATCAGCCCTCGATGCAGCTCTCATTGCTCCGCTTGTTATGAACTGAGCTGAAGCAAAAAGATGAAGATCGGGTCTGTCCAGAATCTAAACCACGTTCAGGTGCAGAAAAGACAGAGATGGAAACAGTCCACTGGTCTCAACTGAAGGTGTCCATACCGGGTGGGGGGGGTCTCAATCAGCTGCCGGGGAGGCAGTCAGTGGGAAGTAGATCTGAAGTAAAGCTGACTGTGCCCCCAGAAAAATGGACTCACAAATCAGACTCAGTGGCTCAAAGTTTTGGTAATTTCTTTGCTATTTTGTCAACTTTGACACCAAGGGAAAGCTACGCTGTTATTATTTGTTTGTAATATTGGTGTGTTGATAAAGTCTGACTTCAGTAAGTGCTAATGTTTAAATGAACCGTTTAGAGCATGGGTGTATTTTGAAAAACAAGTTTTCCACCTCGCACAACTTTTTTCATTAGACAGTGATATACACAAATAACCAGAGCGTATGCACTCCTGACAACTTCCAGCACAAATTGTGACACAACGTGGTGTCGCTCAGCCAATTGTGTAATAATAAGAAACGCTCTTATTTGGAGTACTGAGACTGTTCGAAGCTGTCTCATCCTCCTGTGTATTTCCACCAATATACTGAAGTAATATGTCAAAAATTAACATGGCTGAAGAGAAAATGATGCTGTCATCTCCCAGTGACGCAAACACCTGTAAAATTAAGATGAATGAGCAGAAGTCGGCCTCGATTTACAGCTCGCTAAACCAGATTACATTCTTCTGTCTGTGCGCTCCGAGACCAAGTGGGGGGAAGAGACGGGGCAGTGCCAGGCTGTTTGTGCTCAAACTACTTGATACCAGCCTGTTCGAGGTATGCAAAAAAACAAAAAACAACAAACAAACAACAAAAAACAGTATGCTGAACCTTTATCCAACTGCAGGAACATTAGCAACATAGCTTGCTTCATTTGGTATCTTCCAGATCAACTTATCTCCTCCTTCATTTGGTATCTTCCAGATCAACTTAGAGATAAAAGTTAAAATAAAATGTTTTGGATGTTTTGAAATGCCTCTTGTGGATATGGAGATGCAATGCAAAACCACATACAGTCTTGTAAAGTAGCACTGTATAGTAATTTTGAGTGGAAGCCAAATTAATGTTCATAACCTAAAATGAGATGAGCAACAGAGGACATGAAATCGTGATTAAATGCAATACAAATTAAGTTGATTAATTGGGCAGTAGTAGCCTAAAGCGTGTGAACAGAAGGTCTCCCATCCAACCCCCTGTGCAGCAGCATTAAATCTGGGTGGGACAGGTGAAAACACAGCACTTGCCTCTTCCTCTACAACACCCCTGTGCTGCCTTAACCCCAGCTGCTCCTGTGGAGCTGCCCAATGGCCGGCAGGTCAGACTGTGGTTGTACTGGGCAGCTCCAGGTGTGTGGATGCGATCAGGGCGTTCCTGCCTCTTAGAAAAATCATAAAACATTTAAGTCAGAAAGTGACCTACTGCTGACAAGAGCTGCTACACTAGATGTCTCGAATCATTACACACCCATAAAATGTGCCTCACCACAGTCTGTGCGACTCCAGGCGGCTAGCTGGCTCTGTCCACCTCAAAGTCAACTGAACACACACATCAGTGAGAGGAACAGATATACGTCTCTGCACACAGATCTGAGCTCTGTTCGTGTTCGTCAGCGAGGAATTATGCGAGGTGAAGCCACGGGGGTCGACGGGCACATTCTACTTCATTCAGTCTGCCCACATCACGGCTTCTAATGTTAGCTAGCAGCTGTCTGCACACATCAGGTCATGAAACCGAGACAGCAGGTGAATTAGTCTCCACGCTTTCTGCTCCATCTGGCCTGAAAATGATTATTAAACTGGACAGACTTGGATCAAGAGTGGCATACCATCAGCCTCTTTTCAGAGTGGGTGTCTGTGCTCTGGTTAGCTGAATCATCTTGTACTGACAGTCCACAGGTGCAGGGCATAACCTGGACTTTTTCAAGGTGCATGAGGGTGACTAGCCCTGCACCACCTGAAAGGCAGTGCAGGGCTATTTATTACTAATGCTCAACTATTTTGCACATGAAGTCATAAAATTATATTTTTTCTTGCTACATTCAACAGAAAATCAAATACATTATACTATCAAAATCATGACTTGGTCAGTATAGGGAAGATAAAAGAATGACTGTTTTGGTCCAGACCTATTTAAATATATCTGATACCAGTACTGGGAGATTCTACTGTGATTCATCCCTCAGATGGTCCCAAAATAACACAGTGCAAACACAGTCAGAGAATGGACGTAAGACACTGTCTTTAAGACAAAACCTGCTCACAAATTCAGACAGATTTCTCCAATTTTAGGTGTTGACACTAAAAGAACAAGTACTGAACTGCTGGACCTGTTTGAACCATAACAGTGGAAACCTATTTCAGGGGTCAGTTAAGTTACTGAAGAACAGTTAGGCTCATCAGCACATGCAGGGGTCATTTATTTAATAATCAGGAGATGAACATGTGGAACCCTGGGCAACTCTCGCATACAGACAAGACACATGCATACTGATGTCAATTAGCAACAGCTGATACTTGCGATGTTTATGATTTGTCAATCTATCAAAATTTATTTGTATAGCACTTTAAAAACAACGTCTGGTCGAACAAAGTACTTGACACGGCAATGCAAATCCAGAGTAAGCATTTGTGACCATGAACTAGTTTTCAAAGTGGAACCTACTAACTGAACCCAACTCTACCCGTCCTCATAGGTGTCACCAATATTTTAAAGCTTAAGTTCAATGCCCTGCACGTCCCTCTGTGTCTGGGACTGTCCACCAAACAAGACAAGAACAGACAGTGAGGAAACTGATTCAGAGGAACCTACTAAGTGAACCCAACTCTACCCGTCCTCATAGGTGTCACCAATATTTTAAAGCTTAAGTTCAATGCCCTGCACGTCCCTCTGTGTCTGGGACTGTCCACCAAACAAGACAAGAACAGACAGTGAGGAAACTGATTCAGAGGTTCTGACCTGCCCTGCACTCAGGACTCATCATCGCCAGGAAAAAGGTGGGTGGGGGGATCCCACCGGACCTGTCACCTGTCCTGCAACAGGCACTACAGACCTCTGAATGTCAAAACAACCAGAGACCAAGCTGAAGAGCAGTTCAGTCAGTGACAGACGCCAGAATACAATCCTATGCGGTAACTAACACGAAAACATCCACGTTACCTGTAAATTATAGATCATGTATTTCACATGCACATATCACAGTCATACATAAAGCCAGTGACTTAGAGCATCACGAACTGAGCACCAAACTTTAATCAGTTCCCATGTCAAACGAGGTCAAAAAGCACTGAAATGTCATGTTTATCAGCACAAGTGGTTCAGAAATCACCGGGTCCCGCGACACAAACAAAACTCTTCACATGCCCTTTTCAACTCTTTAAACCTCTTCTGGAGCCAAATCACAGCATGCAGACATTTAATCCTCTGCTCTTGCTCAGTCAGTTGTGACATGTTTCTTTAAATCAATTCTCCCACAAGTTCAAGGAAGCCCAATTCTCTTTCCGTTGCTTTTTGGTCAATATATCATGCCAACTTCCACACGGCCCGTTTGGACTGTTGTGACAAATCTAGCATACGAATGATCCACCAAGCACCAGTGAAATCTCCACGTTTTCAGCGAGTTTGACTGCTGAACTCATCTTTTTGTCATGCATTACAATACAGAGGGGTTAAAGTGCAGGCTGAATTTATCAAACAAACTTTTTCCCTTCCAAAAACCTGTATGACCTCAGAATGATTGAACTCCACACTTCAGACCATGTTGACTCCAACAACACTGGACCACTTGGGGCATCAGCCTTCCAAAGTGTTGTGATCTATAACAGCAGCCACTGAACATACTGAGGATTCATTTTCATACTGTATCAATCAAAGCTGTGTGGATTTAAGGACACCGGGGGCTCATAAATCATCCACGCCTGATGGCAGAGTGTGCACAGACCTTAGTGAGGCATTATTTACACAGCCTGCTCACAGTTTTGCACACTAAGCCACTTTACAGCCTCAGTGATTTATGTTCTCTTACCTTATCCCAAGCTTTTCATTTGGGCCACAGAGCGTTATGGTCGAGCAGGTTGAGGCACCACTGGACGCTCGCTGGGCTCCTCAAACTACTCAACAGAAAACAACTTTTAATTATTACAGTATTTTGCTTCTCTGATTTTTCTAAAAAAGCGTTTTCACTGCTATTATCATCATTTTTTTAATTATTACATGCCACATCTTTAAACAGCAAGGCTGGTGTCATCCTGCATTTTCTTGTTCCCAGCAAATCCCATGAGAAAACCAAAACCATCTCTCAAAAAATATTCAGTCCATCTCTCAACAACTCTCCTACTCTCAGCTCGAATCCCACTGATTCCTAGTGAAGATGTAAATCTTTAAAACACCTCACATGTGTATACTTTCTTTTTTTTTTTAAAGGCTCATACATCCATCTATTATCTACACCGCTTATTCCTGAATAGGGTCAAGGGGGACTGAAGCCAATCCCAGCTGACATCGGGTTAGAGGCAGGGTCCACCCTGGACAGGTCGCCAGTCTATCACAGGGATGACACTTAGACAACCACACACACCCACACTCACTCCTAGGGGAAATTTAGAGCCACCAGTCAACCTAAGCCGCATGTCTTTGGACTGTGGGAGGAAGCTGGAGGGGAGTTAACCGCCACTGTGCTGCCTTGAAAGGCTCAGAACGGTAGTTTTTAGCTTACTCAACTAGAATTACTGCTCTGTGAAGTCACTGTGACCACCAAAATCTAATCAGTTCATCCTTAAAGGATGGTGGAGGAAGTGCATGTTTTTGCCAAAATTGAAGAAATTCCCTTTGTTTGTGTTCATGGTGATGAAGGAACAGGTCATGGTGGAGGAAGTGCACATTTCTGCCAAAATTGAAGAAATTCTCTGTGTGTGTGTGTTCATGGTGATGAAGGAACAGGTCAGCCAACACAACAGTGTGGTCACTGCTGGGTTTTAAGAGTCTCTGGACACAGAGGGGGGAGAGAGATGAGGCTGCAACAGACAGACATTGTTGGTTTGAGTCTTTTGATGGGATTTGACAATAAGATAAATTATCACCAGACTAAGATTCCTTCAACGATTAATCCCTTTTTATTACTGCACCAACAGGCACGTCTTTATAAACCTGCACAAACTTTTTCATAATCCAAATGTTAATCTCCTTCACTGATGAAATGGCTCACGCTCATGTGCCCAGGCTCTCACCAGGGTTCACTGCTGATGATGCAATCCACCACGTTCGCCCCCGTCGAACCAACACACAATGAGACATTCACTTCTCTACTGAACCACATTAACCATCAGTGCACGTATGAGCAGTCCATTTTTATCTTCTAAAGCGCACCCTCTCCCTGCTGCGCTCTCAACAGGATATGAAAGATGAGGAGATCACAGACAGAGGTGCACAAACCCAAGACAGACACAATAGGAGAGATGGCTATCAACTCAGCTGCAACCCGGGAGCCTTCGGTAATTCTTGACGTACCAGGAAACATATTTAGCTGCGCCATTATTGCAGACACCAAATAAGCAGCAAGGAAGAGAACGTCACTACAGACACTTGCACCGAGTCTGGTGAGGAGAGAGCAAGAACTGAAGCAGGGAATGGTGAAAGGCTAATGAGCTTGGATCAGACAGAATCCAATAACGTAGGGCTACCCAAGCTTCCACTTAGATGGCCCACAGTTGTACATGCCAGGGGGTCACTTCTACTGGGGATGGGGACACACAAACAGGTGACAGAGTCCCAGTGAGGAGCTGGGCCATCAGAACAGCTCCACCTTGGCTCTAAGTCTCCAAATCTCTGAACTCTCCTGGAGGGATGAACACTGTTCTTCCAGCAGATGTTCCCTCATATGGTGTTTTGATGATGGTGGTGGAGACACTGTCTAACACGTCGCTCCAACATCTCCCATAGCTGTTCAACTGGTCTGAGACCTGGTGACTGGGAAGGCCACAGCATCTGGTTCACATCATGGTCATCCTCATCAGGCCAGTGAGGGACCCCTGGCGTCCTGTGGGCGGGGGGGAAGTCACCTTGGAGGAGACCACTCCATTATTCAGGTTTGTCCTTTCATGTGTCACTCATCTGTGTATGTTTCCCTCCTTTGTCCTTCTTGTCCTTCTGTTGTATGCTTTTAATACTGTACATGTGGGGGCTCCTTCCCAGAAGAAGCTGTAAACCTCAACAGGATCCATCTCCTTAGTAAAATAAAGTTTAAATAAAAAAAGCACCACAACTAATTTTTTAATCATGTGCTAGTTTGTAGACTGATGTAAAGGCAAGAACAAAAACTGTGTTCCGTCTCATTTTCAGAATAAATAATGATGTAGGGTGGTTATTAATTAAACCACATGCTTTGATATATAAATCATGTTAAAGCAAAAATGTCAAAATCTAATACTATATAAAATTATAAACACATGCTGTGTTAAAGTGTGGAGAACCAGATAAAAGCTAATACAACTTTATACATTATACACACATTATACATTATACAGAGCGACACTGCGAGAACACCACTACTGAACAACCGCCTACTCCATTTACAGACTCGGTAGCTTCAACTGGAAAATAATTTTTAAAGCCAAAAATAAATGAATATCTGTAAATGTTTAAAATGAAGGAACCATAATACAAATTCAAATGAACAGCCGTCTTGAGAAGCTAAAATCTGTAGCACACACATCTGCATAAATGTTTTACAATAGCCTAGTGAACAAACAGAAAATGCTCATTAGTATGGGACTGATATTGCCAAATTTTGTTTGTTGTTACTTCTGACAGCAGAAGATTGTGCATCGGCCTCCTACACCTTTCTCAGTCTGTAGTGTTGCCTCACTTTGATGGAATCGATTGCCTTTGTGTGTAACTGTTTCCTAATTACCCTGTGAAATCAATTTCGAGACAAACTATAGTCTTTACATGTCACATAAAATGACAGCACATTTCCAATCACACAAACTGTGCTATTATAAAATGAACCAGAATTCACAACTGCTGTCTCACTTCTGAAAAGTTTTTCTCTGCCAACACCGACTAAGCTTCAGGTCACAAAACACAAAACACACATCACCAGCAGCAAGCATGAGAAATAATGGTAGGAGCACCAGCCACTACACACACAAATAAAACAGGCCAACGTCAGCACTTTTCATTGGCCCTTCACAGAAAGTAATTCAAGGAGGAACTGAAAGTGTTAGTACATAAGAAGAGTTCTCAGCAACAATGTGGCCTTCAGTAAGTTTCAGTGTCATTAACTAATTAATAGCAGCATTTCAGTGTCTGTCTCTACAACACACAGAGGGTACAACTGCTTGACAGTCACAATTTGTTATTACTCAGTTACAGATATATGTCAGAGTAAACAATTATTAGAAAATATCAGGATTTACCTTTCACACCACTTTGCAGAATGAACAAACTAAAAGCAAAATGGACCTGAAGTACAAGCATTTCACACATTTTTGATGCTGCTGCTATTAGAACGGCCACAAATGGAAACAAATTCCACTGAGCCTGTAAAAGGATTGAAATCCTCATTAAATGTTTGGTTACTTACAGACTTCTGTGCTGACAGTAATTCTCTGAGAGTCTACAGACGTGTCACTTCAGTGCTGCTCATGTGGTAGTCCTCTCATGGCTCTTACCAGAATCACTTCACTGAGTCTTCTCATGGCTCTTACCAGAATCACTTCACTCAGTTTCAGCACGCGCTACTTGTCCCAGGCTGAAATGTCTTACAGAAACACCTTGCGCTACTTGTCCCAGGCTGAAATGTCTTGGCTGTATGTATATATAAGGACGTTGTCTATCAGCCGCTGTCCACGAGGTTTAACTGCTCAGTAACTTGTTGTAAAAAAAATTATCTTAGACCTTTATTAACCAAATTCCTTGGATGTCCAAAACACCTGGCCAATAAAGCTGATTCTGATTATTTTTGTAAGGATGAACAAATCCCATGAGATGACCGAAACTGACACTTGTGTTGATCTCTCAGTACTTTCTGGCTCATAGCTCCAAGACCATTGGTTCCCACTGAAGACGCAAATCTTTAAAACAACTTACAGACGTATGGTTCATTTTTAAAAATGCTACATCAACTGGAGGAAACAGTGCATTTGACGGGACTATTTTCAGAGGTAAATTAATCCACATTTGGTGTGTGGAGCTCTGGCACACGGGGATGGGATACATGAGACGTTGGATGCACACAGTTGTTAGTAGGAGATGTTTATTGTCAGTTTGGGTCTTTTGTTGGGATTTGTTGACAAAAAGAAATACTGATCATCACCAGAATTATCCTTCAAGTAGATCTGAAGATCTGGTCCCTTGTCAATATGATGCATTTGGTGTTTTCCTTTCAAATGCACCTAGAAACAGTGCATGGTTCTCTAAAGGAGGATCAACAGCTGTAGTCCGCTCTTTAAAAACTACCTGGTCACCTGCACTTGGTGTGATCTTATCTGAGGAGGTGAGGAGACCTCCTATCCTCCACATGTAGATAGAAAACAAAGGAAACTCATCTGACAAAAGAAAGAGGCGCTGCTCCACGTGACGCAGGAAACCCATCTGCTCCGATCCCACCTCCACCCTGCACGGTACCTTTGACTTCTGCAGGAGCTCCTCCAGGACCCAGAAGAGGTGGCATGAGTTCTGATACTGATCCAGAGGGAACCCGTCAAGCCGCGAGTCCTCCTGCCCCTGCAAACATCAATGTCAACATAACTCACTGTCTGGGGAACATGTTCATACAGTGTTGTGGCAACCCATCCAACAGTTGTTTACTACATGTCTGCTGAATAAGTAAAGGCCACATTTCCAAGCATCCACCTCTGTATTAGAAGCTCTCAACATCCTCCTGGAGGTCAACCTGTGGGAAGTACTGCAGCCAAGATCCAGGCATCAACTATGTCCCTGACTGGCACAACTGCCTAACCACTGCCGAACCCACAGGGATGCCGAAAATGCAAGTCAAGGGAGGAACAACCAGAACAAACCGGCTAAAGAGGTCAATCATTACTCACATAACTGGTGTAAACCTTCAGGAACTGATAGATGATGGTGCAACAGAAAATTACTGCACAAGCTATTTAACCACATGGCAGTATAGAAACATGAAGTACTAACGCGAATGTCCTCAGAGCACACAGGTCAGGGCAAGGCGCACACACAATTCACCATACACTACAAGCCAAATGTTACTTACTCAAACAGAAGAGGCTGGATTTCTTCCAGGCTACATCTCGGTGTGCCTTTGTGTGTGTATGCATTTGAATTTTTGCATATGAAAGTTTCTGTGTGCGACTTTGAGTTGTCATGAAGCAAAACAGCAGCCAGCTGGCTGTCAGGTACTCCTCTGGGCAAAACCCTTCAGAGAGCATTGAGAATGTGACAACACCACCCCTCAAAACCTTGCAAACACACACCAGTCAGCCCTCCATCAGGAACGGGTCACTTAGCACTTTGCTTTAGTGTCAAAACACATTTTCTTTATACCCCAATTGCTCATTTTCAATTTTGCCTGCAGGAAAACTCTCTCCAGCTATACAAGTTATTAAGACAAAATTCTGCTACTGACACAATCACAATTAATGACTAGGAAGTGTAATCAAGAACATTTTACTGGCTTTTCGTACAAAATGTCAGCAGGGTGTTGTATGATGTGTGTTTATCGACACTCACTCCAACGTTTCAGCAGCCATTACCGAGAGGATCAGATCAGAGTAGGCTGCTGGTATCCCCCCCGACCACCAGGGGAATTAGTGAGCAAACCGCTACGTGGCGCAACATAACAAGGAGAATAAGATGACAAGCTAGGACAAGCTAGGACTGGAGGTGTTTTTCCACACATCATGGTTTACTTTTTCAAGAGAAAAGACTAAGGGTGGTTACTAAGTGGTTGGTTCTGCGTATGTGCACCTGGTTTGTTTGCCCATTGCCGTTAAAGTGTTGCATACAGCGGTGTCCCAACTGTTTCTGGGAGATGTAGTATCCAGGACTCTCAGTCCTAAATACGGCTACTACTGCCTTCGTCCAGCAGGGTTTGTAAATTGTTCAGTGTCAGTTTCCTTTTCGCCCATGTCAATGGTGGAGCACTCACCATGTCAGTTTCAAATTCTGCGACCTGAACGCAGTTATACTAGTGAAATATTGTCACATACAGTCACAGTCCCACAACATTAGACATCTTTATATCGCAATATTACAAATATGATTGGATCCCTACAGATCAGTCAACAGTATCCACACCTGCAGCCTCATTAAGTGCACATACACACACTGTCAGGTAGTGTGTCCCATATCCGAAATATGCCAACACATAGTGCACTTAACCTACAGTGGACGTGCACTTGTCTTCATAAGTTGATGGAGACTGAAACAGAGCTAAAATCAGAGTGAACATTGAACTTACATTCATCAAGTGAAGACAAACATGACTCCAACTGAATGTTAACGCAGCTGCATGTTTGTCAGATGTGTAAATAAGTCAACACATTCAGGAGAACCTGGTCAGTTTACTGCGGTCACAGCAAATACCGACGTGGTTTGGGTTTTGTTCACTGTACTTCACTTTTAGTGTCTAAAACCTTTGCACACGGCTATATGTGTAAGTCTATAGAACCAAGCACTGATGAGCAGAAACTTGGTGTGTGATTGTCTGGTGTTAAAGGGTTTATTAATAGACCTGCCAATCACTTTGAGTGTGTTAACAGGTTGTTTTCATGGGTTATATTTGATTTGGACTGTGAAATGATGGATGATATATGCTGTGTATGTGCATATACTGTATGTTACCAGACAGCCCGACACAGATGCCTCAGAAATTCACACTTCACATCTTGCTGGCAGGTTCTGCCAGCAAGATGGAAAAGACGTACAGTGTTTCATCTGGGTGTACAGGAAGAAAGGAAGGAAGACCGCAGTGTCATGTGTCCCTACAAACCATTATTTAAAAAGATGATTATCTGAGCTCTGTTTATGCCCAAATTTAGCTCCACTGATATAAACAGAGACAACAGCTCCCAAAATGATCACACAGCTGGATCAGCCCAAACCGAGCAGTTGCATTAGACTGACTTAGTCTGGGCATGTGTACATTATGAACAGCCAAACAGAGGGTATATGCCAGTAACAATATAAATGTGGCATTTGACCATACAGCACAGAGACTTATTGATCAGGCTCTGGTGTGAAGCGACGCAGAAGAGAAAGGCAGAGATAAAGCTAGACTCAACCAAGGATATACTGGGATGTTACATGCTGTGTGCTGTTGCCTGTTGGGTACCCTGACATCCAAAAGTTGAGACTTCATCAAAACTTTGGCTGTCACTTTCAAAACCATAAAGCTGTTACTGCGAGCCCTGAACAATGCACACCTCCATCTGGAGAAAACAAGTCTGCTCATTCAAGAAGGCACATCATTTAGAACCACTGAGCTGGATAAACACTGCAATTCAAAGAAAAACAACAGGGCATCTCAGAAAATATAAGGCGACAGAGTGTCACAATAGGTGACACATCTTCAGATAGACACTGTGCCTCAAAACACAACGTGACAACAGGGAATTAGGCTGTCCTAAACAAAAGTTTCTAAATCTTCTCCAAATTAAGATCCTGTTGTATCTTCTCCACATCACACTGCTCTGCTACAGCTAGCTGTGAAATAAATCAGGCATTGCACTTTGTTTTGCATAAAGCCATGTGTGGTGCAGCGATGACTTTTATATGTGATTTATACGGGAGCTATCACAACACCAGCCATAGCTTTCGTTAATTTGACAAATGCGTAACAGTGTTCAAGAGGGAGAAGTGGTTTATGTCGGTTCGATTGGTACAAGGAAGCCCAAAATATTCTGCTTCGATCTGCAACCTGTAAACCACTCACATGCCCAAGAAATTTATGAAACCAGAGAGCAGCATTCAAAGGAGAGCAGAACTCGATAACCGGAACAAGAATCAAGTCGGAGCATCTGGTAAAAACGTACACAGAGCATGACAACTCGCCTGCCGAGGAGGTAACACAGTCACGTGACAGAGAACTCCTGGTCACTCTCTGAGAACATACCCTGGGTAAATAAAGGTTAGAAAAAACATAACTGTACAATATCTTTGCCTAAATGAAATGAATTTCATTTTCTCTAGTCAACACCACATAGTGACAGTACGTCATGGACACAACCTGAAATGTGACAACACAGACAAAGAGTTCACAACACCAAGATGTATGCATGTACGTTTTTCTTGCTGCTGTTCAAGTGTTTTGAGACACTCTGGTGAAAGCCTGATTTAGACATGCAACTGCAGTCTTCTTGGCCAATTCCAGTTTGTTTTCCTTCAAGTCTGACCTGCTGATTCAGATTTTCTTTCTAAGAACTGTAATCAACAACACACACAGAGCTTTTTGTAACCTTTAAGGAAAAATTTGTCATAAAAATAAAACATTTTAAAGTTTTACATCTCTATTTTTTGATTCCAACTAAAAAAGGAGCGCACTATACTGTAAGTACTTCTCCAAATATAAACAGGTGCAACAGGTAATAGAAACAGAACAATGTCTGTTACGTCAGTCCTACTGAGCACATGGTTCTTTTTGAAGTGTGTAGTTTGTATTTGCTGTGTTTTACCACAGGCTGCAAACACTGTACATGCATTTCACGTGTAGCCAGTAGCTCAGTCACTGTGGACTAGTCGTCAGAGATGTGGTCGTAGTTTCCCATCTGCAAGGTGTTTCTGTAAGAAATGTTTAAAAACGGCCTTGTTTGAGTATCTCAGTAACACAGTTCAGTACCTCCCTGGTCCTGTCTTCACATTTAGGGGGTGAGACCTGCTTCCATTTCATATCAATAAGGTAGCCAGGGACCGAGGCAGTGAAAGCCAGGACGTCCTGCAGTGTGCCAGACAGATCATTATCACGGGGAGCACCATTTGTAGTTCACACTGTACACTGGGACTAACTGTTATATTCTAAGCTGTTCACAGCGTTTTCACGATTTTAGTCCAATACTCAGATTACTGAGGATGACTTCTGATGTGCATATGCAAAAAGATGTTTTTACATATTTCTAAATGGCTAAACATTGGACAGATGTGAGTTTCAGTACTAAAAGTACTTTATGACTTTCAGTGAAGCCCAGTCTGCAGCGTTGAGGCGTCCAGGTGGCCAAGATGCAGTTATAATGTATGCATTATGTATTATATTCAGAATGTCCCTGGTATTACTGCAGCTACAGCCCTCTGTTGCATGGCCTTCCTTGTACTCTCTGCGTTTGTAGTCACCCCTCTAATGTTCACCTTCAGATAAAGACAAGAAATGTCTCTAAAATACTAAAAACAGATGTATGAAGGCATCATCTACTATGGCTGTCCATGTGTGCAGAGTGAGAGATGTGATGACACATAGCAAAGAGGGAACTGATATGAAACTACGTCGAGAATAGCAGTGACAGAGGGCCCATATGAAACATGCTGGAAGGGAGACTTGGACAGCAGCAGCACAGGCTGACTGATCCGTCTGTCGGCTTGTTACCACTCCTCAGGGACCCAGCGGGCTACAGGCCAACAGTCACAGGATTAGCTGCTGCATTTAATAATCCTGATAACCTACCCTCTCCCTCCATGCCAGCTAGAGGCCAAACCATCTATGATCCCACTGAGCGACCTGAGGGTTCAGGTGAGGCCGACGTTAAGGTCATTTCATAATC